CAACTATATTATCTTCATCAAAGATACATAATTCATTCCATAACTTTTTATTTCAATGTTATGCAATAATGATAATATATATCAATTAAATCCAGTACTGGATAAATACAATGATCTTATAGATGAAAATAAAACTAAGAAACAATTTATATTGAAAACATATTTGAATTCAAAAACTCAAAAATTAGAAATATTGTAAGTAATAATCTTTTTTTATTTACATTATATTTTAATTACACTACATTTAAAAAAAGTGTTATAATTATAAAATTATTATAATATTTAGAGAAAATGAAATTAATTTACAATATTTAAATGAAATTCAAAAAGGATCTACTCGTACATTTAAACCAATTTCTTATGAAATTGAAACATGTTATGATGAAACATTTGATAATTTACAAAAGATACAAAATGATTTGTTGAAAATAAGAAATCAAATGACAGAACGAAGGGTAAATTGATATATTTACAATTTATATATATACAATTTAAATTTTTGTAAATATATTTTTGTACAATTTAAATTTTTTATTATAGAAAGCGGATATAGGTTTTGAACGAGAAAAAAATATTCTTTGGCAACGATTTTTAGTTGATCCTGATACATTAAGAAAAATATATAAAGAAATGAAATCTATGGGAAATAAATCTTGTTTTAATGATTAAAAATTAATAAAATGTGTAATAATTGAACTATATTTAATATTATTTTAATACTTATAAAAATCTGTTATTATTACTATTCCAAAATATTACTGTAAATAAATTAGTTTTGTTTCTTTAAACTTTTGTATTGAAAATTAAAATATCGAATTTGTGATAGAAGAATATAAATTAAAGTTGTTTTTCCAAAAATTTAAAAAGTATATAATATAATTTTATTATTTAAAAATTTAATTTTTACATTAATCTTTTATAAATAATTATAAAATTTATATTAATTAATAAAAATTGATAAAAATAACAAGTTAATAAGAATTCAGCAATATAATAGAAATATTTAAATATTTCTATTTATTATTGTTCCCTGAAAATATATATTCAAGCATTGAATCATTATTAAACTTGTATTTTATACTATATATATATATATATATATAA